ATCAACCCATGGAGGTAAGAAAGGCTTACTTCCTACCTCCATGGATCAACCCAAGGGTACTTCAGATGTCAGACATCGTCCATCGTCCAGCATTGACCGGAGGATGCCGGTCAGTGCTTGAATGGGGAACGCCGGTCAATGTCGGCCAATCTACATACAGCAACAAAATTTTAAAACTGCTCTTTTAAGGGCAAAACAATCAAGACTCTGAGTTTGCTGGCCTCTGGTAACCAAGAGTAGGGGTGTAGCTAATTCGGTATGTTCACAGCACTAGAAATGCAAAGATTGTATTTTGCGATGAAAAATAAATTGTCACAAATAGAGAAAATGACCCGTTAAATTGTTCGTAAAAATGGGGACAATATATATAAACGTACAGTAGGTTCATAATTTCATAGGTAATCCATAAAAGCATCAAAATTAATTATGTTCTGAGTGAGTATGCTGAGCCTTCTTTGGTCGGTTTAGAAAGACTGTAACAAGTGAGCGGTGGATGGGAGAAGAAATTTATTTTCATCAAATATTTCATAACTTAAGATATTAAAGAAATTAACCGGTTTTGTAGATAATCGCTCTCTTGAAGAATTTTTCATTGGTGCGATTAATAAATTCTTGAATCTGTTCTAAGTTTAAATTCGAGTGTATACTACGATTTCTGATTTCTGGCGAAATAAGGAGCTCCGTTGAAGGAGAACTTGTTTGACGCACTTGAAGTTTTTTGTAGTCCTTGTCTTTTTCGCTTGCCCAGGCACGGGAAGCGCATGTGAGAATCGGTCGAATGACCGTTAGATAGAGTCTCTTTTTCAGATGTAGAGATAGCTGTTCACATTTTAACAGTGGGAACAGTCTGAACATAATTTTGTAGGCCTTCACGTACTTAGGTCACGCGATCGTTCCATGATAAATTTCTATTGAAGATATCTCCGAGGTAGCTTGCTTTGGTTTAAGCTTGCTTGTACTACACATTGGAGGTTGTAGCGATGTAGCTTGTTCTTGAGATTAGGGATCCAAAAAGGGTGACTTGAGTTTTAATTTGGTCGAGTCTACGATAGTTCCTGATAAGAATTTTAGATTTTGTGGGCTGAATGCTAGTTTTCCAACAACTACATAATTTTTCTATGGATGGAATTTTCTCTTGCAGCCTGCCCAGAGCATGGTCCGGTCGACGTGATTTGGAAACAATTGCCGTGTCATCGGCGTAGCTGGCTAGGAGAATGTTAACGTCGTCTGGAAAGCTGGGAAATCGTTAACGTAAAGTATGTAAAATAAAGGTTCAAGAATGCTACCTTGTGAATACCAGATAGGATATTCTTTATAGTAGAAATTGCCTTTCCATGTTTAACAGTGAAAGTGTGATTTTCGAGAAAAGAGTTTATGAGCAAAACCAGTTCACGAGGCAGGTCGAGACTGATAAGTTTGTAAAGCAATGCCAGACGCGGTCAAAAGCTTTTGCCACGTCTAGCATCAGGATTGCGACACTCATTTCATTGTGGATCGCCGAGCCTATTAATTCACTGAGGCGAACGAGCTGCTTCCGAGGTACAGAGTTTTTTCCTGAATCCGTACTGATGATCTGTTAAACATTGGAGGCTGTTGATCAATCTATTATATATGAGTCTTTCTAAAATTTAGCTGATCGATGACAGCAGGCTAATGGACCTGTGGTTTGCTGGATTTTCATGCTCTTTTCCTGGTTTCAGGATCTGTTTTCGGACTCTTGAAACGCAGCTTAAATACTGCTTCTGAAACACGTTTAGATTAGCATACTACGTCATTAAAAATTTACATTCCGGCAGGAAACTGAAATCAGGCTAGAAAAGAAAATAAAACTAAAAAATAATTGGTTAGATTAAAATAACATCCTTACATAGCTTGAAATTTTTAAGTTAATAATGCAAATTACTCTTGCAGAATACAATAACATGCGCATTTTTCATCTATAAAGAAAACTAAGATATTTATGCATAATTTCCCAATTCCCCTCAGCAGATATATTTTTCGAACACAATTTTAAATGCAATAATCTGCATAATGCACAATGAACTCTAATTACAGGAACATATGCACGATAAAGGCGACACAAAAGTATATGTCCAAAAGCACAAAAAATTTATGCAAATTTTGTTAGTTTTAATAACTGCTGAAAGTATCATTTTCAAATTCAGACTTAAATGCTGCACAAATTTCGACTGAAATAATTGAACTTAATCAACTGCACAATTTATGTCTACGACTTACATATATTAACAGGACTTTAACCATCTTTAATTCCATGCTGTTGAGTATCTCGAGTAAAATACAAGGTCAAAGTTAGCACCTATTTTTTATATACTTGCCAGTACGAAGATTCATTTCCTATCCAAAAATTCTTAGTAACGATTTTACAGAAATACCTAGCTTCAGGAATGGTCATCGAGTAGAACATTTGTCATCTTTACCACACTTTTGTTTTTATTTCGCAGCATTTTCATACGCTACCACGACACTAGGGCAACCCGCTGTTTCTTTTAGTTCGATAACATTTCCGATTTCATGGAGCATTTTCATAAGAGGAGAATTTGTTTATCTAGTAAGAATGCTATTTCCAGGAAACCTTTTCGGAACACCATTTGCTGTTTACTATTAGAATATATTTTCATAATGAACACATAATATTTTCTTTCGTATTTGGGCGCCATCCTGAACTAAGGAAAGTTCTGTCAATTTTTCAAGCTTTACAACGGAAGAAGCAAAGATCTTTAACTTATTCTTAATTACTGAACAAATAGAAGGACTGTACACTTGTATATTAAAAAAAAAAAAAAAAAAAAAAAAAAAAAAAAAAAAAAAAAAAAACCTTACAGCGTCCCGAAAGCCTTTGCCTTATTCCGCCTGATCCTATAAGCTACCTAAGAGCTCACGGTTCCATATGATTCTGGTATATTCTGTGGAAGCGGTCACCTATAATGACTATCAGTGACGTTCATTATTTTTGTTTAAATATTAGAATGCTCTCCGAAATTCTTGTCACTTACAGAGATGATCGTTCACAGAAATTATGGCCGAGAGGGGATATAGTTCGTTATATTTTTAATGTTGTTGGTATATTTAATTATGGCAAAGCACACTAGGGCTATCTGCCTAAGGGGAGGGATGCCTTCGTGGAGGACTTTCTAAGGGAAACTGGCTCGTATACACGTTACACATGGGGAAAACCACGAAAACACCCATGCAGCCAGCACGTTCGCGGGATTCGAACCTCAGACCGAACTACCAGTGTTCAGCGACTTTACCGCTCGGCCGCTGGTGGGCTTTATATATATATATATATTTTAATGAACAAGCTATAAGCGAAATATTGTTAACATGAAAATTTTCACTTAGAAAAAAAATTATAAGACATATGTGTCATATGAACTGATCAGACAGTGTGCAATATCTTGCAGAATACTTTGCAATGCAACAGTGACTTTAAATCCCTTACGTGAAAAATATTCAATAATCCGCTAAAGTACTCTGTACAAATGAAAGGAAAGCAAAACTTTTATGAAGTTTTTATAAAACTTAAATAAATAGAGTTCAGAAACAACATTTGATCTGAATCAAATTCCGCGTGCGAATAATTTAGGGCAGACTATGTAAATGATTAAAACATCAAGGGCAAAATGTATAAAAGACCAAAAGTGATGCTTGAAAATACAGAACAATGGTTGAGAGGGAATTACTGTTATATGAACCATGCAGCGAGCAAGAATGCGTTCATTTTAAATTTCCGTACTTAAGAGCGAACAAACAAGACTGAGAAAGACCAGTATCATTGGCTGCAGCAAAGATTGATTGGTTCAGCTTATTTCCACCATATGGCTTAGAGCAAAGTATCAGAAAAACCATGTTGTTGCATTATCCATAGACTGATGACCACGTTGTTGACAGTTGACCACCACAGACAAAAGATCCAGACCACGTTGTTGCTTAATCCAGAACTCAGAGGGTTAGGCCAATGTTATAAAGCTATAGAAAATGCTTGTCAAAGCCACCGGTTCGAATACGATTTGATCAAATCAGTATTTTTTTTAAATTGACAAAAAACAATAATCTAGTTTTGGATTGGAACTGTCAAAATACATGTTAGACATAACTTTTTTTATTTTGAAATATACATAATTTTACATAAAACTATTACTATTACAGTATATTCTTTTATAGGAATATTAAAAAAACTTAGAATACGTAAGTTTAATTAATCCAAATTAAAATTAAACTAAATTTGTTTTAGGCGTTTTCTTATTTTGCTGTGTTTCGAATGAACTAAATTTTTTTACTTTAATTCAGAAAAGAGCAAAAATTAGAATTAACGTGATGTAATAAAATGTGCAGGACGTGGTTCGTAGGTTTGATTATATCACGTTATTTGGCTGTTAGTAAGAAAATGCGATCCTCAGCTATATAACTAGGAACAAATACAAAATGAGAACATTTTCTTAAGTTTTGCAACAAAGTGCCATCGCATAATATTGCCTAAAATACATGATATCCGAACATACTTGAATGGTTAAGAAACATTTCAGAAGTCTTTTTTAATATTATAAGGTTATTTCTACCATATTCTTGGCGTACCTTCGTAGTGTATTGGTTCTGAACACTGGGTCGGTATTCTAGATGTCCGTGGTTCGATTCCCGGAGAAGGCGATTGTTAATTTTTCATCTCTCTGGCTTTTCCAATTAACCGAATGTCTCTACAATGGCGTTAGAACTAAAAGGGTGTTGGATAAGGATTCTCCACACCCAGGATTTGGCGATTGGGTTCCCTAAAAACCCCAGTCATCCTTTAAAAGGGGGAGTATATAAGGTATTTCTCCCACCTTCTTGGCGTGCCTTCGTGGTGTAGTGGTTCTGCACACTGGGCGGGTATTCCAGAGGTCCGTGGTTCGATTCCCGGCGCTCATTTTTCATCTTGCCTGCTTCCAAAATACATAATGTCTCTACAGTTTGAAATATTGATTTATACTTCTTTCTTTTAGGAAAGATATGGATGGATAATTTATATTGCAAAGGCGAAGAAACAAAGTTGGTAGACTGTCAATTTGATGGCTGGGGATCACATGATTGCAGTGTTAATGAAGCAGCTGGCGCTGTCTGCCGCAGTAATAACCAGATTGAATCTCTGATTTCTCAGAAAGCTGCAACAATAAAACCAAAATTAATGGTGAGTACCAATCTGCTTTCATTTTAAGAAATTTTGAAATTATTGCTTGTTTCTAATGTCTTTTAGCATAATTCAACTTAACATTTTTGAGATAGTTTTAGACATCTGTAAAGATTATGTTTAATTTCGTCGGTCTATTTCAGAGTTGTAAATGGTAAATATCTTTGAAGAATTTGAAGTTTTATAAATATATATCACAGGCTGTATTTCTCAAATCCAGGCAATTTCCGGGTCTGGTCTTTTTTAAATTACGGAAAATGCTGAAAAACAGAAATTTAATCCTAAGAGTTCGATTTATGTGTTTCAATAAACCAATAAACACATGCTCCTAAACATGTTTTCGCAACTTTACTGGTTTATAATTTCAGCAAAACTTTAAAAAATCTTCCTCTTTGTTTTTAAGTCAGACACTGCTGACGATTCAACTTATTTGATAAAGAATTAGTCGTATTAATCATTGAGCTATTAATCATTAAATATAGATAATGATTATATCTCGTGTTTAATAGTATGCGGATCAACACTTTTACCTTGTGACGTCTTAGTTGTCATTCTTAAGGACTACAGTACTGCTGAATGTGAGAAATTAGCAAGATTATAAAACAAAGCACATGTTTATAGTGTAAACAGATTTTGAATTCTCACTCATAGAGCGTTTGGACGTTGAAAGTGAAACACTTGGTGAATATATTCCTCTAAATTTCAAGCCAGCCTTCCCCCCCTCTTGATTTGGAAACCCGCTACATTTCGAATTTTGTCAACAATAGCAGATTGTAAAGTTGAATATTTAGCAGTATTACATGCATTGACTTTAAATACTGCTTAAAATTCCACTGCATAATTGGGAGGTATACTTCAGTTCAAGATATGATTTATTCTTCATACTTGTCTGGCTGGTGTATTTGTCAATAAGAGAACACATCTTTTTTATCTATAGAAGGCCACAGTATCCAGGGTAACATCCTTACACCCCCTCAAAGAAAAAAACAACAAGAATTTTGTTAATTTGAATAGTTGCTGTAGAAACGGGAAGTTACCTGAAAAGAATATTAGATGAAAGCTCAACAAAGAAGCATAAAACAACATCTATTCAAATTATGGCAAAACTTACTATGCTCTTAAAACGGTCACTTTCTGAAAGAAAAAAAAAACTGTTAATTGGGAGCTTTACAGGGTTCATATTGATCGTCGGATAGCTATAGCAAAGATTATAATTCTTCTCATGTTAGACGCTGGTTTCAGTGGTATCAGGAGCGAAAATCTTAATGCAGACAAATGAAAATCTGCATTGTTCATCCAAGAGTCCACCTTCACTGAATTTTCCACTTCTGGGGGGGGGGAGAATTACTTACGACGAACGTTTTCAGAGGCCTTTTACTCGAAATAGCTCGTGTTCAGAGTGGAGCATGGTAATGTACCGGTGATGGTTTAGGCTGCAGTATTAGAAGCATCTCTGGTAACACTTATTGCTCTTGATAGTTGTATCACTAAGAATTATTGTTGCATTTAGGATTGCAGATTCAACCAATTATTCAAACATTGTATTCCAAAGGATGTGTTCTGTATCAGGATGGCACTATACTAGTTTACATCACAGTCTGAAGACAGAGTGACTGAGTGATTTGAAGAACATGAAAATGAGTTCGAATAGCTTTCATGTCCTTCGCAGTCCTTCGATCTAATTACCCTTGAGCTTCTGGAGAAAGGTATTCTTCCACTATTATAACGAAGTCAAATTGTAGAGACATTAGGTTATTTCGAAGCAGAAGATGCGAAAAATGAAATGCCCTCGCCGGGACTCGAACCACGGACCTCTCGAAGACGCGTCGAGCGTGCTGACCACTACACCACGAAGGCATGCTAAGAAGGCGGGAGAAATACATTATAAAAAACCTCTTTTTTTGCAGGAGAACTGACTAAAAATACTTTAATGACTGAATAAGGCTTGTTTCAAGAAGAATTGATGCAATTAATAAAGTATTGCACTCCTAATACATGTATTCTAATTTCCTTGCCTAACCTCTTTAAGAGCGCCGTCCTGGTGACAGATACACAGACTACGGACGGCAAATTCAAAACATTCTTTATAATCGGAATTATTGTACAATATTGCCACTAGGTTAAAGAAACACAGCATTTAGTATGTTTTGTAAATTTCGCCTTTGACGAGTTATCTGAATTTTATTTGTTTAAACAAGCACCACCAATAAGTTACGAGATATAAAAGATAAAAAAATCTAAATCAATTAAATCTTATCCATTGGATTTGATATTTAAGATATGATTTTCTTTATGCTAGAAAATTGTATGAGATACACAAAAGCCGAAACAGACTTTCTGTAAAACATTTATTTAACGCCTCGTGGAGTAAAATCCTCTGTTTTACTTAACAGCTCCATACAAAGAATGTTGAAGTTCGTTTAAGAGGTGGACGATTTACATTCGAAGGCCGTGTTGAAGTTCGCATAGGTAAAATGCCTTGGGGTCTGGTTTGTGGAGATGGGTGGTCTCTCCTGGAAGCAAACGTTGTATGTCAACAGCTGGGCTTAGGCTATGGTCAAGCTGCCGTGCAGGTAATCAAATTTTCCTGTTTTTATCCTAAAAATTATATAAATTGAAAGGAAAAGGAAAACATGTGTTTTGCGAGAATTCGGATGCTCAGTTTAAAATTAATAAATAACTATTATTGTATAATAATTGTTATTATAATTATTTAATTATCCCATTTTATTGTATAATTTGCATTGCAACGAATTCTAATATATTAATTATTATAGTTGATTATAAGAATTTTACGATAATAAATATTTATCATAAATTTTTAATAAAATATATGTACATTAATATACACTGAAAAAAAAATAAATTTCTTAATAATTAGTTATAGACGATAATACGGTAATAAATGATAAATGTAGTTATTTAATAATTATAATAATCATATTATAATAAATAATTATTATATTTCTTTTTGATTTGGGGCCTAAAATCTGTATGTATTATTGATTACTCAGTTACCCCGACATACATAGAGTTGATGTGGGAGGGAAATAAGTCTTCCATAAACATCACAATATTGGCAAATGTCATGTTAAATCAAATACGATTATGGGAGATTCCTCTGAAGTGGGTGGAAACCTGTTCACCTTAATTTAAAAACTCCAAAAGAATACTTCTTTCTAAAAATATGTTTCCATTGTTTTTACGTATCTTATTTTTAAAAATAAGCAGTGAAATATGCACTCTTCATGTAAAATTCGTATGTTAAGACAAAAAAAAAAAAAAAAAAAAAAAAAAAAAAAAAAAGAAAGAAAAAGAAAGAAAGAAACAATTTCGACAGTTTTCGTTTCCAGCGTTGCACACCAATGCGAATCTTCGCACTTATTTCTGCGAATATGAAATAAAAGCGCGAAAAACAGTGGATGACAGGATAACCTGACGATACGGGAACTTCCGTAGTAAATTCCCCCTTTTCCGGAAAAGAGCGAATTCTCATATGCCTGACCTTGTGGCACGTAATTAATAGCCCTTCTGGGCGATCCTAAGGAGTTTGGTGGAATGCCAGCTATGGTTGTGTTTGCCACCGCGCAAACTAAGCCAACTGAAGAATGACGTAATATGAAATGGAGAAATGACGTAATATTTTTTCCAATTTCCCGCGCGTTTTTTCTGAGAAGCCTTTCAACGCCTGATTGCATGCTTGAAGAAAGGAAGTCGACTTTTTTTCATTTTGGCCTGATCTAATCTTGTTTCTTTTTCACTCGAAACTCGATAACAAGGAACACTAATTATTTACAGAAGGTAAAATATTTTTTAAAGAAGAAATAACAGTATATTTAAAATGAATTATTATTAGAAAGAATGAGATTTGGATTATTCAGTTATGGCAAAGCACACGAGGGCTATCTGCCTAAAGGGAGGGATGCCTTTCGTGGAGGACTTTCTAAGGGAAACTGGCTCGTATACACGTTACACATGGGGAAAACCACGAAAACGCCCATGCAGCCAGCCCGTTCGCGGGATTCGAGCCTCAGACCGAACTACCAGCATTCAGCGTCTTTACCGCTCGGCCGCTGGTGGGCTAGAAAGAATGAGAAATAAATTTATATTAAAAATATTTCAATGTAATATTTAAAAACGAACTATCATTAGAAAGGATAAAAATTATATTTATATTTTAAAAAATCATTTTAACGCAGTATTTAGAAGTTTCATCAATCCAGATGAATTAAATAGATAGAAAATACATGTAAAAATAAAAAATTAAAAGTACTTAGATTTTTGAAGATATTTTAACTGAATACTTCAAACTCAATACATGTAAAAATAAAAAATTAAAAGTACTTAGATTTTTGAAGATATTTTAACTGAATAACTCTTCTTTTGACATGTCTGCTTTTAATATGATGTCACAATTCTTTATTTTATCAATATACTTAAATATGAAAGGTTTTGAATGAGTGTGATATCTGAAAACCTCATTCCAACCTATAACATTTTTCAAGCATTCTATAGAACTTCCAGATAATGTTGATACATAGGAATAATTGACAAACTTAATTTTTAAGGGGACAGTGGACGTTCAAATATTTTTTTAAAAAATTACTGTCATAGAGATATGAAATTTTGTATGCATGTATATTTTACCATAATTATGTCAAATATCTTTGAAAAAATTTCTGGATCACTGCAATTTAATTTTTTTTTAAATTTCTAAAATTTTGTCAAAAGGTTCTATGCGTCTTAATTTTTTTTTATTTCTTGTTACTTTTGATTTTTTTATTGAATATGCATTACAAACACAATTTGGTATCAATTAGTGAATTACATAAAATGCTAATTTTTAATTAATATTTCTTTTACATATACCCAAATTTTGGACAAAATTTTGCACTTTAATACACTTTAATTGGATTTTTATCCCCTTTATGAATTTGCATTAAAAACTGCATACCAAGCTTAGTTACATCCATAAACAGGAATCTAAATTACAATCATTTTGAAAATAAACTAAAGCGCATGGAGCATTTTGAAGACGTAATAATCACGAAAATTTCATGATGAGAAAAATACATTATAAGAATAATTTTACACTATAAGTTTACTTTTACTTCTTTTAAATTCCTCTCTATTTTTATACATATAAAATAACTGTAAGTTTACTTTTACTTCTTTAACTTTCGTATTATTTCAACTTTTTCAATCATAATATTTCTTTTACCTTTGAAATGCTCAAGAGGAATCATAATGTTGTTTCCAGATACCTCCAAGAGGGATCATAATGTTGTTTTTATTTCTAATTCTCTGTATTTTCTAGCAATTTGGTTTGGTTTGGTTTTACGTGACTACGGCAAAACCTCGAGGGCTATCTGCCAAAGGAAGGACTTCATGGAGGACTTTCTAAAGGAAACTGGCTCGTATGAACGTTACACATGGAAAAAACCCCCATGCAGCCAGCCCGTTCACGGCATTCGAACTTCTAACCGAGCTACCAGTGTTCAGCGACTTTACCGCTCGGTCGCTGGTGGGCTTTCTACCGATTTATAAGCGGTTTCAATTAGCTCAGTTTCTTCATCAGTACGCACGCTGTTTTTATGAATCAAACTACGCTGATTTTATTATAATACTTACCACTCTGATCACATTTAATTTGTGATTCTATGGATTCCTTTGGTTTCGAAAATAATTTTTTGTTGAAGGAATATTTTATTTAATTCTTTGTCAACTATGTGATTAATCAAATCATCTTTTTTAAGCCTTAAATAATTATCAGTATCACGTTCTCTACAATAATTACGTAGTTGCTTTACCGTTATTGATTTTAATGTGTTTTCAGAAGGCAACTTTTTTTTCGAAATATCTGAATTTGATTATTCAGCTTGATTACCAGCTTTTCTAAGCTTTGAATAATTATGGATATAATTTACTCTGCAATAAGTGTGGATTGTTCCACGGTCTTGTTTTGGAGCTCCATTTATATAGTAATATTTTTAACAATATAAATTTCTTAGATGACATGGGCTTCTAAAATTTGCATATATATATTTCCCCTATTCCCGCCCAGTTTTTGAGTATTTAATATTTGGGATGATAATATTTACCTCTCTTATAAAAATTATTTACAAGTTCACACTTCTTAGCCTCCATCTACATGCATTACTTTTTATACAGACATAATAGGATAAAAACTAAGAAAAAAGAAGAAAAAATATAAAATATTAAGGAATGATATACTCTCATTCTAAATATTAAGTTTTTAAATAGGTTTGAATAGTTATTTTTATTTGTTTTCATTTTCATATCCAAAAGCTGACCAATTTTTACGTTTTGCTAGAACAGAAATTTCTTTTGGAAATTCCATACACTTAAGAAATACAATATTATAAATCGCTACCATAGCATCACCTGTTTCAAATGTTTCTAAATAACGAAATTTTAACATCTTCTTCTTTTAAGATATCTTAAATCGTCGGTTAAAACTTTATTATTTGAAAATTTTGTAAATTTATAGAAATGCTGATTTTTCTGAGGTTTGAATGTAATAAAATCAAGACAGATAGTTGCACAAAAGGGAACAGCCATTTCATAAACAAAATATTTCGCTGCGGCATTTTGATTATTTACAGGATCTTTGCAATTGGATAAAATTTTATTTTCCATATCATAATTTCCATCATCTGTTAATTTTATAGGAGGAAGAACATAAAAAACCTTCTTCATTGTACTGTAAAACATTATCAACATTTTAGTGTTTACTTTTATTTTTTCCAAATACGCAACATTACTCTGATCCTTTTTTGCATTCAAAATCATTGCAAATATTTTGAATTAGCTTCTTTGAAAGATCTAATTTATTTTTCTAAGGTCTTACTAGTAGGAAATTTTGAAGAACCTCTTACTTTATGTAATATTTTAGCTCGAGAAATTCGGCTGTTCAAATGGCCTCTTTCTTTACTAATCTTGGTTTTAAATAACTGGCTTTTTTCAATTATTTGAGGAATTTTTTCGTCAAGTGTAGCAGATAGTTCTGAAGCTAGATGTAAATCATTTTCTTCTAAGAACCTAACATCTAAGTTTTTATTCAAATCAAGCATCAGAAAGTTTTCGATACCTTCTACGGCTTTGATGGGATTTTCTTTGATTTCGTAGGTACAGGCTTTCTCTGGAGTATCAGTAACATGATTATGAAATTTCTGAATGGATATAAGTATTTCAATTTTCTTCGTAAATTTATCTGCATTATTTAGCCTAATTTATTTTTAAAACTTTACGGCCTCTAAAATCTTTAGCGTGTTTTTTTTCTTTCTTTTTTAGTATCTTTCATTTATAACCAAATAAAATTGGCCTCTTGCAAAATATAATTTGCATTATGCAAAAATTTCTATTTTTATAAACGATAAAAATTAAAAATTATGACAAAGAAAAGTTTACAGTTTCGAAGCAAAATTCTCTCATGCTCATTTACCCTTTCAGGCTTGTGATTTTAGGAGAATCTAGATTGGGAAAAAGTATTTTAATTAATTTAATTCAGAACTTTAAAATACGATGCATTATACATATGGATTAAAATATTTATGAAGATTAACATTCAGATATAATTGAAATATTTTAAAGCTTTGAAGGCATTCAAAGTGAAGATATCATAAGTTTTACAACCGGTGGAACTTTCCAAAAGAATTGTTGTGAAAATATAATCAATATAACAAACCATTCTTTGCAACGGATGCCTTAGAAGAATTTGTACAATTAGAAGATTTAGGTCCGAATAGAAAGAATATAATTGTTTACGATTATTGCCTTGCTAAAGGTCAGACAAGTATTAAGAAATCATGTTTTTGCGGTAGACACAATAACGCGTCCTTCATTTATCTAGCTCAAGCCTAGACAGCGTTTCTAAAAAATAAGGATCAACTGTAATTATTTCATATTTTTTAATTTACAACCGAAAAAAATGCAGCAGGGCATGAGAAAAATTGATGAAAAATTCACAAAAATAAATTTAGTGAAACGTGTAATAGATATAATAAAAAAACCCATGATTTTATCATGTTTAATTTTAAAAATCCTAAGATGATATATCGAAATTTTTTTAATTTTACATAAATGGAAAAGAAATTGGAAGATTGGTTATACGTTTATCACAAAAGTTCAAAAGTTTGTTTATAATGATTCCAGCTTATCGTTCTCAGTCACTAAATTGTTCTTCAGTTCAAGTTCGCTATCCGCCTTCACGTTTTTGCCTTTGCCGCATTGAGTATTGTAGATGGAATTATCGAAATTCTAGATAAATCGTTAAAAATTTCAGAAAGAAAAGAGGAATTTTAACATTCTTATAAATTTTATAAATCTCTGAAGCTAAAACCCTGACAGAGGAAGAAGTTTTGGTAAAAGTGAGAGAATTTACTGAAAATTTACAGTTTTTCCCAATTGAAAGTACCTGAAAAAAAAAAAAAAAACCTTAAAGGCCTTCTAGATATTTTTAATACTACATAAATGAAGAAAGGAAAAAGTGTTATTAATGAACTCATTAACAATTCATTCTTTGAAATGCATCTGACTGGGCGCTGGTTTATAGATCATGGGGCACAGCTTTTATGAGGCAAAACGAGAATAAATTCTGGTTTACCTTAGGAAGAATGGTCTAAGCCTGTAAACAGAGTGGATGAAAACTCATACAAATATGATATATGATATTTAAATATATAGATATTAAGACTGGAAGTAACGTATGTGATAAAAATATGATAGAAAATTTAGATGCCATTCCAAATCCCACAGTGCCGGAAAATAGAAAGAAGCATCGTTAGATCAACTATACTATAAAAAAATTTGGAATGAAATGTTTGAAACGTAAAGAAAAAACAGAAACTAAAATTTCTCATGAAACCCCTTCAAAAAACATATTGAAGGCTATTTGCAATGTTTGCGGCTCTAAAAAAAGTACTTTTTTAGCTCAAACGGCTTGTCAAAAGAATAGAAAAAAATCTTTAAGATGTTTATCATAATCTTGAAACCTTAAAAGAACTGCAGAGGAAAGCCAAAATGCCTCAAAAAGAAATTGAAAAAGATATTTATACAAAATATAAACCACTGATTAGAAATTTTAAGAGAAGAAGGCTGTATATTCCTGCCATTGACGATCAATGGAAAGAAAATCTATAATTTTAAGTTCTTCAGAAAATTTAACGGCGGAACAATTTATTTATTAATAATAATTGATTGTTTTAGTAAATATGCATGGGCTATTCCCGTAAATAGAAAAACAGAAGATGTCACAGATGAGTTTTTAAAGAACTAATTCTTATGCGAATTCAAACCGATAAAGGTACAGAGTTTATGAATAAAAATGCTTAAAAATTGTTTAAAGGTAATAAATGTTCATTGGTTTATTACAAAAAAATTCAAAAATTAAATATGCTAAATTTGAGAAATTTATTAAAACTTTCAATGAAAAGATTAGGAAATATTTGGATGCAAACAGAACTAAAAGATACATAAACGTGTTACATAAATTAGCTAAAAATTATAATAATTCATATCACCGATCTATAAAAATGACACCTATGGAAGCATCTGATAAGAATAACTAAGCTGTAATTTATATGTATGTGTATAGGCTCAGAGAAATTAAAAAAAAAAAACCTAAATTTAAAAATCCGTGATGCCGTTCGAATTTCTAAAGTTAAAACCGTTTCCACAAGAGTAAACGTATGTAAATTCTTTATATAAGAGATTTTTATTATTTGTCAAGTTTTAAACACAGATCCTCCTACTTAGAGACTAAAATATTTGAATAATGAGGACATTAAAAGAACTTCTTATGAAAAACGAATTGGATAAATATGATTAAAATATGAAATTTATAAAATTGAGAAAATAATAAAGAGAAATGAATTAAAATCTTTGTTAAATGGTTAGGATATTCAAAACGTTATCATTCTTGGATTGATGGAAAAAATCTTTTGAAATCCTCTTAAAAAAATCTAATTTTTACTGTTATATAAATTTATATTTTTAGCTTCATCCATTAAAAAAGTTTAATGATTTTGTCATTGTCATTTTTTTAATCATCGTGTCACCATTTTATGCGTGTCCTCATTTTTTACAGACAGTTTAATACTTCACTTTTAAGACTTTTTTATATTAGAAAAATTTTAGTCTCTTCAGAATGTCCTAGCTCTAAAATTTTAATAGCCATTTTAAAAGTTTGAACCTGTAAATAAAGGCTAAAGGCAAATTTGAAATATTATTAAAATTGCTAATTTATATATTTCTTTTTAATTCTTTATTTATTTTATACGCTTTCGTATTAGAAAAAATTAAACTTCCTTTTTGTTACATTCAAGTTGTCCTAACTTGAGTATTTGTTAACTATTTATGTGGCTTTACTCCTGATACTGCTGATACTATTTAATATGTATTAATTAGGCGAGACATGGTCTTAAAAGTACGTTTAAATTGGCATGGTGGCTAGTAATATGAAACAACTGAAAGACTTCGTTGTCACAGCTCTTGCTCAAAATTATTTTTCTGGTGGACATTTTCTCTCTAAGTGTGTCATCAAACCTTTAAAACTATCTGAATAGGAGTTTCTCAGGGATGATGCTGTAGGCCAAATTTTTAGAAAATTTACCATAAGTCCATGTCTGCAGTATCGAAATTATCGTTGCTGTTGACATCCGCTTGTTAATGATTAAACTAAAATCTGAGGACGAATTGTAATAACATAGATATAGCTATGTATTTTTAAAATTTAAAGATTGTTCTCTACATAATGGTTGATAATGATATTTAATACTTAATTCTAAAAAAATCAAATATTTTTTAAAGAGAATAAAACGCAAGTAAATGTATACATGACTTGCAAGACTTTAGAATCTGTTACCATACGGTATTGTTTGGGCAAATAAATTATTCGACAGTAAATTTAACTAGAGTGCTTAAATAAATGATAGAGAAACCAGGATTATTCTGAACGTTTTAAATGTCAAATACTTAGGAAGTCTATTGAAGAGAACGACTAAAAATTTTGAAAAATATTTATCAAAGAGTTATTCTACAGTGTAGTTATATGGAGCGCTAGCGTGTCATAAAAAGCTTACAAAGACAGTAAAAAAGGAAACATTAACGTCAGTTGAAACAAAAATTCCGTTGCGCAACATTAAAAATTTTCTTATAATTTCGACCAAGACATCATATATTCTGTTCAGTATTACTTTTTAGTTCAAAACTGTGGAAAATTAAAGAAATTTACTCCACTTTTAATAAAGATTCTGTAGGTGATTATAGTGCTAAACGTTTTTCAGTGTACTAACAGAGGAATGGTACACAGATTTGACAGATTTTGAGCTGGATGCGGATTCTCATCTAAAGCTTTTGAATGATGACATGATACTAGTGATAATACAGACTGTATTTTTAAAGAATTTCAAAGAGTTAATTGTAACAGGAAACAAATTTAAATTACATCCAAACTACTCCAATACCAAAACTGATTCATTTGTTGCATTACAATGTAGAGAATCACATAGACAAGTGGAAGCCCCTATGGGATCCGATGCCGCCATTGCACATCAAATCGGCTCGGTGAAACAATTCAATAAATTTTTAGATACAGTGACGTCTGATTTCAAATATCTCCTGAGCTTCTTCTCTGAACCAATATCTGCCATCAAAATTAAAAGAGAAATCTTCGTCAGAGGTTTGACAAAAACTATCAAGAAGCGTAAATTTTCTCAAGCAGATAACTGCCATTGAATGGTGGCTCCGAGATACGGCTTTCCAGCCGTCTGTCGACGTCTTCGTTAAACATCAGATACGTAATTAGAAAGAAAATATGAAGAGAAAAAATAAAGAAAAATAAGGGTGTAATGGCATTCGAGGGCAAACTAATTAAGAATTATTGCATAAGCAACTCTCTTAAGTGCATAACTTTGACACGTTTCTTGTTAAACTTAAAAACAAAAATTGAATGAATCTCAAAATTAATACCAGGAATGAAATATAGGCTTGTAGAAGAAAATGATTTACAATATCTCGGAGAATTTCTGAGGAAATCACTAAAAAAAATTGTTAATGATAAAAATTTTGAAACGTAAATGTTGGTGCCAGCTGATGCACGCTAGTCTCTATCAGTATATAAATACTCCTTTGTTAAAATACTCTGTTTTATATGCCTTTATGCCAAAATATTCACTACACGTTACATGATTTCTTGTGGAAATGAAGTAAATTTGCATAGTTCATCATCCTAACCACATGTAAGATAATAATAATAAACACCACCAAAAGAACTAATGAAGGGAGTAATCATTGCTTTCCTTAATTTTTTGACTCCAACAACAACAAAAGCAGTATTCACCAAGCCTTAAGCTAAAAGCCAAAGTGATTTATCAATGTAACTATGACCAAAAGTGAGCATGCTCATGTAATGTGTGTATTATAAATTCTTGTGAAAACTGCATGTAATATTCTTTTCACCTTGTTTTAATTTCAGAGTGCTTACTTTGGTGGAAGCCATCAAGATATCGTGATCAGTGGAATAAAATGTTCCGGACGTGAGGGCAATATATCCGATTGTCTTTATCAGTCCTTTGGAAAAGTTACATGTCCTGGAAGAGATGAAAACATTGCAGGAGTCATTTGTGCAACAGGTAACCTTAGGTGATTTTTTATACTTTGCAGGAGGTTTAGTTTCAGTTACTATGAAAAATTATGCCTAGCAAAAATAAAATCAATAGATGTGATCATGCCTCGGAAAGTGAACAAAAAGAAAAGAAACAAGTAGTCCTTCGCAAGTGTTTCGCTACGAGAGATTTAAATCATTAAAATCGCATTATCGCGTATAGAGGATCCTTAGAGTGTCATCAGTCGGCAAAACATGAGATCTTTAATTTACCTTCTAAGTTTAAGGGGTATCAGCAACCCCTATACCGACAATGTTAAATTGGCCATATTCGATGTACCTTTTCTCAAAATCTGCTGTAGATACACGCTTGAATTTTTTTTTTTTTTTTTTTTTTGTAATTAAAGTATACCTATCTGATTATACTGAAATGAGCGTTTGAAACATTTTGAATTTTAGCGTAATTTACAGAATATTTTCTTAGGCATAATAAAATTTAGCACTTTTCTCATACAAAAAAAAAAAAAAAATTAATTATTTTTTCTTAGTTTATCACAAAAAGCTCATTTCAGTAAATATTAGGAAATCTAATAAATAAGCAATAAACATAAAATTTTCAGATACCTGTTAGCAGTAGTTCCTGAGAAAAGGTACATCGAGTACAAAAAAATCACGTGTGGAGAAAAACGCGTTTTTATGTAAAAATCCTCATTCATCAAAGCATTATATGAAAAATTAAAACTAGATTTTTTACAGTTCTAATTTTCATAGAGATTAAAGAATAGTATTTTTAGAAAGATAAATGTGTAGAGAATTTGAAAATGCAAAAATACGAAATCACCATTTTTTGAAGATTTTTGAGTTCCAGCAATCAATGTGTAGTTGAGTAACAAGCTGAGTGATCTGGAAGCAACAAGTAGTTCTTAATAATTTAAATCTTTACCTTTTTTTAACGATGTATCTAATTGATGTAAACTAAAAACATTTAATTTTTAATGCATTCCAAATGCATTGAATTATATGAACATTTACAGCTTTGTTACAACGAATAAAAGATGTTTCTAAAGCTTTATGTTATATCAACTTGTACAAAATTTTAGTTTATTTTGACGATGTGGTGCTTTTATATTTAAGTACACTCGTGATCAGAAAATAACAAACAAATACTAAAAAAAAAGTGTGAATATAAAAAAGAGAATCAAAGCACCCCATTTACATGTGAGATAGAGGTTGCATATCCGAACGCAAATAGCAACAGAAATTAGCATAAAGTGCAATGCTGCAGTCACACCACAACGTCTTTAAAAAGGAATACCGGACCTATGCGTCAGTTCGTAAGAAGCAATAGTTCCGTATAATCCGAGATAACCAAAGTGGAAAGTATAAGCCAAAGACACCATATGCAGGATAAAATGCGTTGGAGGACTGTCGGAATATAGCAAGCTCGTGTAAGCCAATCCGCTGTTGCGAGAGAACTGAATGGGTATCGTAGTGTTATCAATAGGCTATGAAATCGTTGCCAAAGGGATCAAAACCCTTGTAGAAGACGTGGGTCTGGAAGCTGGAGGTCTGGAAGCAGACGATCTCTTCCTGTTGCTATGTGCAAGACACGGTAGATCACTAATATCACGACAGCTAGCGTCGCATCTCTCTGCTGTTGCAGAACGGCCCATAACCCGACAAACTGTGTCGCGTCGACTGCTTGAAGGTGACTGTACGCCCGATGACCTGCCTTTTGTGTTTCTTTGTCTCCACCGAATGTCAGAGTGCGGTTGAGCTGGGCCCGTGAATATCGCAGTTGGACACCAGAGCAGTGGAACCATGCACTCATTACAGATGAGTCTTGATTTAACATCAAGAATGATTCCCGAAGGACAATGATATGGCGAGAGCCAGAGACACGCTATCGTGCGCCAAGCATCGTCGAAAGCGACCATTACAGAGTAGGAGTCTTACTTCTATGCTCTGGTACAGCAACGAACGGCTGCACCGACCTCTACGTGATTCCTGGCGTTCCGTCACAACCGTACGATATCGGACGAAATTCTACACCCTCTTATGCGTCCTTTTATCCTTGCAATGGGTGCCGACGCGATATTTGTGGACATTAATGTTCAGTTATATTTGTTGTTATTGTATTCCTTGGGTGTTCTTGAAGTCTAAGCTAAGGACTGGATGATTATCTCCCTATGTTATTCATCCTGGGAAGATTAAAAAGGTGTTTAGCTTAAGAGACATTATGTTAATCCTACAAGCTGAGGTGTATAAAGCACTGCCGTAATTTCAGATATTAAGATGATTAGCTGACTTAAATAGCAGTGAATTGATTAGACGATTTTTATTCTTACGTTTTCCAGTCGGAAACTGTTATTCCAAATTCGCTATGCTGCAAGATAACGCACCCTCCCACTGGCCAGTAACCACTTCGCGGAGCTACTTAAGATAAGCATGCGTACTGTGTCTATGCGTCTGAGTACTGACTGTACGTCAGACGTCATGTGATTTGTGTTCTTTTGTGCCATCGCATGTCAGAGCCCAGTTGAATTGGACCCGTCGCTGTTGGATGCCTGAGCAGTGGGGCCACGTACTCTTTACGGATAAGTCTCGATTCTACACAAGAACGATTCTCGAAAGGCAATGATATGGGGTGAGCCAAGAACACACTATCGGGCGCCAAATATCGTCGAAAGAGATATTACAGAGGAGAAGGCTTACTTGTATGGGCTGAGATACAAACTAACGGCTCACCGACCTCTACGTGTTTCCTGGTGATTCCGTCACAGCCGAAATTCTACACCCTCTTGTGCACCCTTTTCTCGCTGCAAGGGTACCGAGGCGATGTTTATGGACGATAACGCCCACCCGCAAGAGCTCGAGTGGCGCGGTGTTATTTGGAGGGTAAAATCATTCCACTTCTGCCGTGGCCTGCTAGATTACTGGAGCTAAATCCCATACGGCATGTGTAGGACATGTTGGGACGACGGATAGCAGTTCGTAGTGTGTCGCCAAGCAACTTCCACGGGCTCCGACATTCATTACTACGAAAATATGAACCATTAATTTTAAGATTAGCATTCTTTTTTTTTTCACAGAACATCGTCTTTCTCCAAACTTTCAATAATGATATGGAAGTTGTGAAGACAGCAGTACAAGATTTCGTAAATCCTAAAAGAGAGGAACTTTGTTGCTGCGTATTAAACCTACTACCAAAGAAAGGGGAAAAGGCCATACATAAAGATGAGAATAAAATGAAACCAGATAACATTTTAACTTTTTTACGCTTTCTTGCCTTTCCTTTTACCCTTTGGCAAAATAGGCACTGAAGTTTTATTCACTCCTGGTAATTACAATTAGAAATACTTTTGATTTATAATACATCCAACTGATACTAATAGAGATCTGAAATATTGTAAAAATTAACAAAAATATTTCTGACGCCGTAGGTTACTAACTTCGGCCGAGAGAACGTTATTTCTTTTTTCGAAATTTGCTAATGGATACTCAGTACCGATTCTAGACAGTCGGTCGCCCACGTGCAAATTAAAACTGTCAACCCTTTTCTAATATGTTTGATACAATCATTTCAGCGCCCTTAAATTTGGCCGGCCACGTGTTGTGCACCATTTCCGCCCCCCCCCCCGGTATCGGCCTTGTGGATAGTTTTAACTCTTTCTTCAATGTCCTTTGCTTTTGCCCGAATTTCTTGCTTATTGCTGCTAAGAATTATTTTCTTAGTGTAATCGTATTAAACATTTTGTTTCAAATTTGAGTCCAAGTCAATCTAATCTCAGTTATACAAATACTAATAAGCCTTGAATGTGTGTGCATTCATGCTTAAAGAAATCTTGATTCTTGCAGAGACAAGGAGAATACCACCCACACTGAGTGGTCAGAGCAACAGATGGGACTGTTCGCTAAAATATTTCAGATTTTATGGAGTGCGAATCGATGAGAAGCATTCTATGATAGATACCCTATGCATGTGAAATGTAATGAAAAAGCAGGATTATGTTTGCAATGCATTATCTTGTATTTTTCTATTTTCTAGCTAATAACAAAGGCTGTTGGCTGCGTTATCTAAAACGTTAAGAAATCAAGACTGTTTACTGAAAGAAAGCAAGCCACTTGTAGAGCCATTAGGTTAATTGGAAGCAGAAAAGATGAAAAATATCCAACCACCTTCGCCGGGAATTGAACCACGGATCTCTGAAATACCGGCTCAGTGTGCAGAACCACTACACCACAAAGGCACGCTAGGGGTATGGGAGAAATACCTTATAACTTCAACACTGGGTGTGTTTGAACTGTTGTATTTCCCAACGTTACATTCTGTTGTCACTTAGTACCTGCTAGTTTGCTTTCGAATTAAACCTTTTTTTTTTTTCCTGTGGTCACGCTCTAAATCGCTGGTAGAGGGTATGGAAGTTTAACACTTATTATTAAAATATAGTCTTCTAAAGTCTTTTATTTTACAAATAATCCAGCGAATTCTTACACTAGTCGTCTCCCTAAATGGTATGCAGATTTAATTATTTGCAGAAAGATCATGAAGGACTGCACTGGTAATACCGTTATTCTCTTAAATTTCATATATTGCAGAGTAGATTGCGGCTAGATATTGTTAAATTGTGTTCTGCTAATTATCCTATCAGTCATGTTTTCATACAGAAATGCCAAAAACATTTAACACTTAAAATTAATTTTGAATTATTATGAAAACATATTTTTAAAAGGATTGCAATTCCGCTAGATTCTGAATAGTAATGCACTTTAAAATTATCTGTGCAAGAAAAGGAGATTTTTAAATCACTCAGTGTATTCTCAGTATCTTTTTCAAGCAATTATTTAAAAATACAAAATAAGTAAATAATCTAAAGTTTTAATGACTACTAAAATACTCTCCAAGACGCGAACTGAAGAAGAATTAATGCGAACGGGAAGAAATATGGTAGATATGATGTATATGCACGGAAAAAGAAGCGATTAAAATTTCAGAGGAAGTTAATGCTGTTTACTGGAGATACAGCC